CGACTTAACTACTCATCCTCCTCTTTGAAACCCCTTAAGCTGGGCTGTTATGATCTACATCCCTCTCAGCACCACTGTCTTCCCTGCTCCTCCTAGGATGGTCCATTAAGCCCCACTTAAAGTGTCCAACTGCATTCCTCATTCAAAGCCCTGAAGTCCACATTCTGACAGCAAGCAGCATGGCCAGGCTGTCACAGCAACAGCCGCTCCTGGTACCAACTTCTGTCTTAGTGCCTATTCTACTGATGTGAAGACATACTATGACCAAGGCAATTAATGTGAAAGAAAGCATTTAATTGGGGCTTACTTACAGCTTCAGAGATTTAGTCCATTGTCATCATGGTAGGCAGCATGGTGGCATGCAGGTAGACATGGTACTGGAGCGGTAACTAAGAGTCAGATCCTCCTATCTATAGAAAGAGAGAGTCTCTAGGCTTGGTATGGGGCTTTTGAAACCTCAAAGCCTACCCTCAGTGACACACTTCCTCCAAAACTTTCTAATCCTAATCCTTTTAAACAGTGGCATTCCCTAGTGACTAAGCATTCAAAATATATGAGCCTATGTGGGCCATTCTTATTCAAACCACCACAAGCAGTCTCTGGAGTACTTCAGCATAATCCAAGCAAGCACAGAGAAACAGCCAACAGAATAGTCAGAAACACGTGCTACTCCAACTATAAAACCATGGCCTGCAGCAGGCACTGTGTATTTTATCTCTGACTTATGAAGATATATAATATATATATGTATATATATATGATATCTTGATATGTTAATAATACAGCTTGACTGATGTCTTCTTCCTCCCTCCCCCTCCCCCCCTCTCTCTTTCAAGGTAGAGTTTCTCTGTGTATCCCTGGCTGTCCTGGAACTCACAGAGATCTGCCTGCCTCTGTCTCCCAAGTGCTGGGATTAAATTAAAGGCATGTGCCATCACCGCCCAGCTCTTCTGTCAGAGCTGGAAAACAAAAACCAGGATGGTAGGATACAGAAACTTCTGGATGTGTTAAACTCCCTGGAATTCCTCTGTAGTGCTCCTACTAGTGACTGAACTAAATTAAGAACATCACTCAGAAATTGGAGAAATGCACTGGCCCTCAGCTACACGTGAAAACCTTCTAAAACGAAGAGCCATCACAAGGCTGGGGTGGGTTTGATCTCCAGCACAAGAGAAAGTGGCAGAGAGAAACCATGTGTTCATGTACTGCAAATTCATTACATTACAGACACATCACAAAAGTTCTCACATACATCTCTTTGAAATCAAACACCTCTTCTCCAGGAGAAACTCCCCTATTAGACTTAAGGTATACCATCTCTCTTACATTTATCTGCCCCAAGAGAATGTAAATTCCAGAGGAAAAATAGTATTTGTTTTCATTTAGGACTACACATCCAATAATAAATGTGCACTTACACATACATGTACACACATACCTGCAGACACATGTGTACACAACTCAAACACGTGTGTGCGCGCACATGTACTTTTTTTTCAGAAAGGAAAAGATAACGTATTTCTGGGGTGGAGATATAGCTGGACATTTGTACAAGATATAGCTGGGCATTTGCACAAAAAGTAAATAAATAATTTAGTTAACATGTATTTCTGAGAGGAAGGGGAAAAATGTAACTTTTTAAAACCTAAGTACAGACATAGTCATCTCAAAATCCTCACTAAGAACACTTACATTATCAGAAGACATTCCTATTCCAAAATTATTCCCTCTAATTTATTTAGGGATACGTAAATTTCTAGACTAAGAAACATCAATCAGAAGAGAATGGAAAATATGTCTGTGAATACTGCATCCTAAACCAATAGGAAAATAAAATTGTGTGCATGGACCTGATTCTGAAGACATCAGGGATCACCTTAAACCTTTATTGATGTCTTATGTAGGAGCCACCTGATTCTGAAGACATCAGGGATCACCTTAGACCTTTATTGGTGTCTTATGTAGGAGCCGCCACTCGACATTCAAGGAATCACCGGATTGAGCCAGGTAATGCAGTTTGTTCCTTACACAAGGCTGTAGGAGAAAATGAGGGCCCCCTTTTCTACGTCACTTGCAAAGGTAGTGTGAAAGTGAATCATGCAGGTGGTCCAAAATCTCCTTTCAGAATAATTTAGCATAGCAGACACTAGTTCATCTGTAAACTATATAATTCTTTCTAGATACATGTGAGGTGTCAAGAAACAAAGAGGGGCCAAGAAAGAGCCTCTGAGCAGGCTCCCAGCACTTCCAGCGCATCCTCATTACAAATGAGGTGCTACACCTCAAGACAGTAAAGCTCCAGAGACAATGTCCCTCACCCCAATTCTTGAAAACCACATTTCCTTATAGACTATCTTTGTTCTCTGATTTTACAAATGCAGTTTTTAACTACTAAATTCCATCTCTTATCTCAGACTTAAGCTTTGGCTGTCATCCCAAGGAAGATAATTAAAAACGAAATTAATAGTTAAAAATAAATTCTTTAACCCACTAATTTCATAGTTACCATTTACTACATACATAGTTTATTCAAACTAATAATAAAACATTAATTCAATTAGGGCATTATTATGAGCTGGGAACATAACAGTGAAAGGGGTTTGGAGGCACAACCTTTAATCCCAGTACTGAGGAGGAAGAGGCAGGTGGATCTCGAGTTTGTGGCTAGTCTGGTCTACAGAGTCAGGGACATACAGAGAAACGGAGGTGGGGGGTGGTAAAACCCTTGTCTTCTTGTAACTTACAACCCAGCGGTGGGACGCACACAAAAAGGACTTTTAACAAGCAACAGCTGGCAGAATATGGAGGAAGGCTTATATCCTCAGCAGGACTGCCCACAAGTTCAAAGTTGAGTAGATCTACACAGTGAGTTCCAGGCCAGCCAGGACTACTTAACAACACCCTGTACCAAAAATCCAAAACTGCTATGAAAGGAAAAAATAAAATCAGATTGTGGGAGAGGGGGGACAGAGATGGGTTAATAGGAAGTGTGAAGAGAGGTATTGTTTATAATTAGATGACTGGGCTGGGCTTCACTGGTACCAAATGAACCAAAACTGTAAGGAAACAAGGGGAACCATTATAATAAGGCAATGCAAAGAAAGACCCTAAGGAGATCTGTGGCTATAGTGTGCTGACAGCTGAAGCAATCTAAGTGAGAGGAGGACAGCACTGGTGAGAAGCAGACAGAGGATTCCCGATGAAGAGATAGCAGCTGTGTGAGAACAAGAGTCAATAGTGATTGCAACTGGAGGAATGGGGCTTGTCACCAACTCACTTAGGAAAGGCTGATCCGCAGTCTAAACAAAGACCAGGACTTTAACGGCGTACACATTAAATGCATGAAGAAAAACAAAGACCAGGACTTCAATGGCGTACACACTAAATGCATGAAGAAAATGTTGCTAAGCTCCAAGACTCGAGTATCATATGAAGTCATACTGACATAGATTGACTACTCAAGCTTTTCCCTCACAGAGCCATTTCCCTCATCTTGACCAACAGAACCACTCTCCAACGCCCTCCCCCAGACAGAGTTCATGGTCAAACTTCTAAATTCCTGCCAACAGCAGCGCCTTCACTTTCTGCTCCAACATCTCTTACTTCTTCAACCCAAAATAAAAGACAGGCAAAACAATTCCTCAAATTTCCCCCAAAGCTTACAGACAAAGCAAACTCTGTTGACAACATCACCCCATGCAAACCAATGTTCCACAATGACCCCACAAGTCACCATCACAAACACCCATATATGACAAGCTTCCCAAGCACAAAGCCAGGGTGCCACATCCCAAGACCAACTCTTAACAGCTGGGTCCTCACTTTCCTGAGTGACTTGATGCCTGCTGATGTGGGGGTGTGGCTGAATGCCTGTTCCCTAACCCTTGCATTTACAGGGTTTCTTATTCACCTTTGAAGAGAAAGTCAGCATCTCCCTTGGCACTTCATCATCCTTACTGGGTTTTTGATGCCATCTGAGTTTCAACTCCAGCTGATGGTTTCACACAGACTCGAGTGTGCTGTCAGGCTAGTCTTCAACTCGGCCCTCACCAGGGGTTGGGAATGGAAGCCTATGTTACTTACCCCCCTGACTCATGCATTAGCTCTATACAGTGTCTCACGTGGAGTATTTGCGTCCAGTGCAGAGGGCCTGGCTTCCATTTCAAGGTTTTCTATTCAACTCACTTTCACAGACTCCTTTAACTGTAGTTTACAGATGTGAGATAGGTTCATCACGTGACAAAAGTTTCCTTTACTCTTCACAATCAGAATTACTCACCTACATGTATATTCAGATGTTAAACGAGGGTTAAGAAAGCTCCTTAAATACACAGACATTTCTACATGTATGAATTCTCTTATGAAAGGCAGCATTACAATACCATTTCCCCCCCAAATCCTTTATGGGCATCTTCATGCAGGAAAGATGGCTCAGAGGCTCAAGTATTGTTCTTGCTGGAGAGCCTCACACACAGCAGGTGGCTCACAAACACCCTAACTACTCCAGCTCCAGAAGATAGAACAGCTTCTTCTGCCTCCTCCACAGGCACCTATGGCCACGCACAAAGACACACACAGACACATGGGGGGGGATCTTAAAAAAAAAAAAAAAAAAAAAAAAAAAAAGCGGGGTGTGTTAACCCCAGCCCTCAGAAAGCAGAATGGACTCTGTGAGCTCGAGGCCAGCGTGGTCTATACAGTGATTTCTTTGCCAGCTAGGGCCACACGGTGAGACCCTGTCTCAAAAACAAAACAAAACTTCCCCACATTTCCAATAGGAATCCCAGGTTAGGTAACAAGTTTGGGAACCAACGAGTTCAGAATCAGGCAGCTATAAGCAAGCCACCTGCAAGTACACAGCTGCTTTAACTTTCAAGGTTAGCCAGGATGACACTTTAAAAACCTCTTACCCTTTGGTTCTAACATGAACAGTAGCTACCAAGGTTCACAAGGGACAACACCCACCTCCACTGCCTCCACAATACTAAAGCCAGGTATACCGTTATTTTAGAACTGGTAGGCTGCAGCTATGATTGCTGGCAGAAAAGCCGAGAAACAGAAAGCAAGTATCCACAGCTCCTCCAGATTCAGAAATCCAACTCTTCACAGGGACACCTGAAAAGAAGAAAGGTCACATGGACACTCCAACTGTTTTCCTAGAGAAAGGCAAAATTCACCACATTCCTCAACTCTAACTCCCAATTTCAAAACATCAAAATGAGCTGGAGAGATGGCACAGCCACTGCTGCTCCTGCAGAGAACCCAGGTTCAATCCCCAGCACCCTACACAGCAGCTCACAACCAAACTGTAACTCCAGTTCCAACATCCTCTAGACTCCTTGGGAACCAGGCAAGTACAGCAGTGAAAACACTTACATACATAAAAATCACATTTAAGAAGCACATCTGCAGTTCTGAAGAGCTCTCACAGCCCTTGGTGGTGAACATGGGTCCTGACACTTCTGGAAGCATAGTCTTGCTCACTCTCTTTGTTCCCCAGGTATGCTTCCTTTGAATCGCCCACATCCAGACTTCTGTTTCCCAGTTTGTAATCACTCTTCAAGCTTCAGCTGCTTCTTTGAGTCCTCTAATTAAGGAGAGCCTGAACTAGATGTCTCACTCACCCTTACAGAGCCTGCGGGATTCCCTGCCTTACCACTAGAAGCAGACTGTGCTTGTACAGGCTTGCAGGCACAAGGCCAGCAACAGAGCTGGCCAGTCTAGTTCACAGTGCTATCCTTTCAATTACAACAAAATCACTGTTGCTCTTTATGTATTTCTAAAGCACAAAAAACTAGCTGATATCTACAACACCCATTCCAATGTTGGCTATGTTGTCCTCCAGACCTTATGGGCACCTGAGAGTACAAGTACCCACTTAGTAGGAAAGAAGAAAACAACAAACCAAAACTGTTCTGGCCATCATTTAATTTGCACTCAACGCTGAAGAGTGGAAACAGTCAATGAGCTGACTAGATTCTCACCTAAGAGAACAGGAAGATGCAAATATGGAGAGATAGCAGACAGCACTGACGTGTTTCTGCAGTGTCCCTTCTCCCCAGGAAAACAAACCAGGGTAACTGGACCTCAAGCTATGCAGCCCACCACTTAGGAAAAAAGGCAGACCCCAGTACTTCAGGAAGAACAAAAACCTTATGAACACACATATATTAAGAGAGCAAACTTAAACTGCCAGTGTCAGCCCCCTGAAGCATGTTTTTAGACAGTGGAAAGGACACTGACAGTGTCAGCACCCTGAAGCATGTTCTTAGACAGTGGAAAGGACACTGATATTTGTGGCTGTCACTGTTTTCATTACTTTCAGTGTAACAAAGCTGAAATAAGAAATCAGATGGAAAAGTGATCAAAATACTTCCAAACTAGAAAATACGATACAATACAGGCATTGTATTGTATCATACTGATACAATACAGGCAAAGACAGTGGTCACAAAGGATTCAGAACAAACCCTAACTACAAAACAGACAGTAACAACAGTAACTAGTGAAGTAAAATTATAGGATCATGTAAGAGAACTGTCCTAATAAGGAATTTCTTTCTTCCAAAAAAAAAAAGAAAAAAAAGAAAAAGAAAAAAAAAACTCAACAAAATTAAGACACAGTAAATAAAAGCAGGGAAAAAAGCTACTGAAAATACTTCTGATAAAATAGAACCAAAACCTCCAACCTGGCTGGCAGGCAAAAAAAAAAAAAAAATAGCGTGTGTTGATGTATGTGTGGTATGTGTGTGGACAAATTCACACATCTATCAAAGCTACACAAAGAGCCCAGAACTAGCTGATTACGAAAAGTCTTACTGGGGCTGCAGAGATGGCTCAATGGTTAAGAGCACTAGCTACTCTTCCACAGGACCTGGGTTCAATTCCCAGCACCCACATGGCAACTTGTGTCTGTATCTATAGTTCCAGGGATCTGACACCATCATACCATTGCACAAAAAATAAAGTTAAATAAATTATTAAAAAAAGTCTTACTATTGTATAATTACCTCTTCCCAGTTTATGAAACAATAAAGACTTAAAATATGTGACCTGTGACACACGCCTTTAATCTCAGCATTCAGGAGGCAGAGGCAGGTGGATCTCTGTGAGTTCAAGGCCAGCTTGGTCTACAGAGTGATTCGTGGACAGAACTACATAGTGAGACCCTGCCTCAAAAAAAAAAATCAATATAATAAATGATTGAAAAATGAGAGATTCTAACAACAATCTAGTTTTTAACAACTCTTCTGAAAGACTTCTAAATGCTGACGTCTCATTTAGTAAACATACACACCATATTCAAGTTTCGGCTGAAAGTAAGATCTATGGTAGTGGCAATTGCTAATATTTCTACTAAGTTCAGAAGTGGAAAAACCAGGTGTGAAAAGGCACACGTCAACTTCCAGGGGCTTGAGGGGAAAGGCCTTCATCACCATCTTTTCTGGTGAGAAAGGACCTTGACTCTGTCTGTGCAGCACAGCTTCCTTGGATCCTACTTTCTCAGCTCTCCTCCAGCATGACACCTAGTGAAGATAAGAATCATCCCTCAGGCGACTACTGTCCATTTCAGGAAGGGACTCTTCTCCAATGCCTGACCTCTTGAAGGCACGCTGGCAAACCACAGACCCTCAGGTGCCTAGACACCTGAAGCGATACCCCGTTCTTAACACAAAGCACTAGCAGGTAAGAACATAGAACAGAAACAAATGTAACGTGGAGACAACGATAAACCAGGGGAATGAAGGCTCTGAATGAGCCCTGATGTGAGTCTCACTGCCCAAACCAACATATACGTGTGGTAACAATAAACATTGATAAGTTATAAACAACAACAGAGCTTTCTTGATTCACGCAATTACTGGTAAATTAAAACTTACACAAGAAACAAAGAATATGCATATAAAAGTGATTTTTATATTAAATCTTTTTGATACAAGTTACTAAGAAGTAAAACACTATAATTTTACTGCCTTATCCTCAAAACACTAAAATGAAATTTGTTCAACTGAACTGCCAATCTGTTTCAGTAGGGAAACCATGCTGCCTGTTTAACACAAAGAACAAGAGTTCATCACTGCAAATCATGTTGTTTGGGTCCATCATAAAAACAGGAAACAGGCTGCCCAGGTATAATTACAGCTGTAGTCTAATGTGCCTTCAGGTTCAGCCAGGAATTAAAGCCCAAGAAGAGAGTAAGCAGAATTTACTTGCCTCTCTTCCTTGCTACAGAAGGCAACTTTTAATAACACTCTCACAACATGTTACATAACCAACACATACAACAATCTGATTCAAACCTCATTAGCAACATTCTGCCTGTCTCACACTGCAATTAATGGCTGACTCTGCCAGGGAAAAGAAAGGCAACACCTCCATCTACCCATTTCTGTGCAGTCCACCACAGTGAACCAGGTACGCAGAGATCTGAGGAGAATCTACAAAAACATTCTACTTTCCCCCAAGTTCATTGCTTTCTTCCTTCTCTCAACTATACCATATCCCATGGATGCATGGAAAACTTAATCTGAGTGTTTGGTGGGGTAGGGTGTGCAAACCTAGCAGGCAAAAAGAGCAAGCCAGCCAACCAAAATAAGCAACGAGGAAGGAAGGAATAGAGGGAGGCAGAGAGGAAGGGAGAGAGGGAGGGAGGGAGGGAAGGAGGGAAGGAAGGAAGGAAGTCAGTGGAGAAGAAACCTCTATGAACTAAATAAAGTGACAAAAATGAATGGCATTTGCAACAAAGACACAGCAGAAGCTTAAGTGGTAAAGTCCGAGGTCAGCAGAGGGAAGGGGGGAGCCACGGAGACCACAGGTAAGCAATCAGACAGAAATGTCTTTTCACACAAGGCGGCTCTATGTAGCCCTGGCTGGCTGGGAACTCACTCAGGTCTACCAGCCTCTGCCTCCCAAGTACCGGGATGGATTAAAGGTGTGGGCCACCATGCCTGGCTACAAAAACAATTTTCTGAGCGTAATATAACAAACTTTATAAAGGTTAGGCTTTGCTAAACTGTTTCTTCCGAGTTGTGTTGGATTTTTATAATGTCAGGGTTCATTTTTGGGGGGTGGGGAGGATGTTACCAAATGGGTAAAAGAATGTAATTTGTTACCATGACCTACTAACTACAAAATCTGAAACATAAATCTCATGACAGAGCAGTTGAGTGTGAAACTGTTTCAATACAACAGGCACTATGGATTGGCATTTAGCAGAAACATTAAACTACTTTGTGTTACTAAACCTACTGGGTCTTCAAGTTAAAACTAAAAGCTAACTCGCTAACAGTAACTCTCATACCCTAAGAAAATCCAACCACCCTTTGTTTAAAAAAAGGAAAAGAAAAAGAAAAACACAGCCGGACTGGTGAGGGCTCGCCACTGTAATAATCCCAGCACTTGGAAGGCTGAGGCAGGAGGATTGGCCGGAGTTCAAGGTCTGCACTGAAAAACCCTGTCAGAAAGCAAAGACCATCACGTGTATTCCTTTTCTCTTAGCTTCTGTAAAGCCAACCAAAAAAAGTCCACGGATCCCAGTCTCTTGTTGCTAGGTAGGAACACACTCTGATAGCGCTAGGCAACAGGCATGATGTGACAAACTCCACCAGACTTCAAAACTTTTTCCACAGAAAGATAAACAAGATAGACTTCGCGCCACACCCATCGCAACGCCAAGGCGGCCAGGAGTACGCCCCCACCTCCAGCTGCTCAGGAAACTCTGTCTTACAACCGAGATAAGGATCGAGCCTGCAGTGTTCGGCCATGCCTGGCTTCCAGGTTGGCCTGGGCTCCGCTC